GCACGTGGGAGCTAGCAATAGTGTGTGCCCAGTGCAGGCAGTGAGGAGAGGGGACCTTGGCTGAGCGGGCTCAGCTTCAGATTCTGTTCTAATAAGGGCAGGAGTGCAGCTCTAGGCACAGGGGTGCCACAGCCCACAGCCCACCCCCTCAGCACGTGGGAGCTGTCAGTATGGCAACCTACCTGATTACAAATTCATCACAGGTCCTCCCCCAGGCCCTCCTGCCCAACAGGTTAGGGCACATCTTAGGGATGACACTTGCGCACACTCACACACAGTCCTGCCCTGTTGTGGTTTGTCCTCAGATGTGGATGAATGTACCTCGGGACAAAACTCCTGCCACAAATCCACCCGATGCCACAACACCGAGGGCAGCTTTGGGGGCAAAATTCCTGCCACAAATCCACCCGATGCCACAACACCGAGGGCAGCTTTGGGGGCAAAATTCCTGCCACAAATCCACCCGATGCCACAACACCGAGGGCAGCTTTGGGGGCAAAATTCCTGCCACAAATCCACCCGATGCCACAACACCGAGGGCAGCTTTGGGGGCAAAATTCCTGCCACAAATCCACCCGATGCCACAACACCGAGGGCAGCTTTGGGGGCAAAATTCCTGCCACAAATCCACCCGATGCCACAACACCGAGGGCAGCTTTGGGGGCAAAATTCCTGCCACAAATCCACCCGATGCCACAACACCGAGGGCAGCTTTGGGGGCAAAATTCCTGCCACAAATCCACCCGATGCCACAACACCGAGGGCAGCTTTGGGGGCAAAATTCCTGCCACAAATCCACCCGATGCCACAACACCGAGGGCAGCTTTGGGGGCAAAATTCCTGCCACAAATCCACCCGATGCCACAACACCGAGGGCAGCTTTGGGGGCAAAATTCCTGCCACAAATCCACCCGATGCCACAACACCGAGGGCAGCTTTGGGGGCAAAATTCCTGCCACAAATCCACCCGATGCCACAACACCGAGGGCAGCTTTGGGGGCAAAATTCCTGCCACAAATCCACCCGATGCCACAACACCGAGGGCAGCTTTGGGGGCAAAATTCCTGCCACAAATCCACCCGATGCCACAACACCGAGGGCAGCTTTGGGGGCAAAATTCCTGCCACAAATCCACCCGATGCCACAACACCGAGGGCAGCTTTGGGGGCAAAATTCCTGCCACAAATCCACCCGATGCCACAACACCGAGGGCAGCTTTGGGGGCAAAATTCCTGCCACAAATCCACCCGATGCCACAACACCGAGGGCAGCTTTGGGGGCAAAATTCCTGCCACAAATCCACCCGATGCCACAACACCGAGGGCAGCTTTGGGGGCAAAATTCCTGCCACAAATCCACCCGATGCCACAACACCGAGGGCAGCTTTGGGGGCAAAATTCCTGCCACAAATCCACCCGATGCCACAACACCGAGGGCAGCTTTGGGGGCAAAATTCCTGCCACAAATCCACCCGATGCCACAACACCGAGGGCAGCTTTGGGGGCAAAATTCCTGCCACAAATCCACCCGATGCCACAACACCGAGGGCAGCTTTGGGGGCAAAATTCCTGCCACAAATCCACCCGATGCCACAACACCGAGGGCAGCTTTGGGGGCAAAATTCCTGCCACAAATCCACCCGATGCCACAACACCGAGGGCAGCTTTGGGGGCAAAATTCCTGCCACAAATCCACCCGATGCCACAACACCGAGGGCAGCTTTGGGGGCAAAATTCCTGCCACAAATCCACCCGATGCCACAACACCGAGGGCAGCTTTGGGGGCAAAATTCCTGCCACAAATCCACCCGATGCCACAACACCGAGGGCAGCTTTGGGGGCAAAATTCCTGCCACAAATCCACCCGATGCCACAACACCGAGGGCAGCTTTGGGGGCAAAATTCCTGCCACAAATCCACCCGATGCCACAACACCGAGGGCAGCTTTGGGGGCAAAATTCCTGCCACAAATCCACCCGATGCCACAACACCGAGGGCAGCTTTGGGGGCAAAATTCCTGCCACAAATCCACCCGATGCCACAACACCGAGGGCAGCTTTGGGGGCAAAATTCCTGCCACAAATCCACCCGATGCCACAACACCGAGGGCAGCTTTGGGGGCAAAATTCCTGCCACAAATCCACCCGATGCCACAACACCGAGGGCAGCTTTGGGGGCAAAATTCCTGCCACAAATCCACCCGATGCCACAACACCGAGGGCAGCTTTGGGGGCAAAATTCCTGCCACAAATCCACCCGATGCCACAACACCGAGGGCAGCTTTGGGGGCAAAATTCCTGCCACAAATCCACCCGATGCCACAACACCGAGGGCAGCTTTGGGGGCAAAATTCCTGCCACAAATCCACCCGATGCCACAACACCGAGGGCAGCTTTGGGGGCAAAATTCCTGCCACAAATCCACCCGATGCCACAACACCGAGGGCAGCTTTGGGGGCAAAATTCCTGCCACAAATCCACCCGATGCCACAACACCGAGGGCAGCTTTGGGGGCAAAATTCCTGCCACAAATCCACCCGATGCCACAACACCGAGGGCAGCTTTGGGGGCAAAATTCCTGCCACAAATCCACCCGATGCCACAACACCGAGGGCAGCTTTGGGGGCAAAATTCCTGCCACAAATCCACCCGATGCCACAACACCGAGGGCAGCTTTGGGGGCAAAATTCCTGCCACAAATCCACCCGATGCCACAACACCGAGGGCAGCTTTGGGGGCAAAATTCCTGCCACAAATCCACCCGATGCCACAACACCGAGGGCAGCTTTGGGGGCAAAATTCCTGCCACAAATCCACCCGATGCCACAACACCGAGGGCAGCTTTGGGGGCAAAATTCCTGCCACAAATCCACCCGATGCCACAACACCGAGGGCAGCTTTGGGGGCAAAATTCCTGCCACAAATCCACCCGATGCCACAACACCGAGGGCAGCTTTGGGGGCAAAATTCCTGCCACAAATCCACCCGATGCCACAACACCGAGGGCAGCTTTGGGGGCAAAATTCCTGCCACAAATCCACCCGATGCCACAACACCGAGGGCAGCTTTGGGGGCAAAATTCCTGCCACAAATCCACCCGATGCCACAACACCGAGGGCAGCTTTGGGGGCAAAATTCCTGCCACAAATCCACCCGATGCCACAACACCGAGGGCAGCTTTGGGGGCAAAATTCCTGCCACAAATCCACCCGATGCCACAACACCGAGGGCAGCTTTGGGGGCAAAATTCCTGCCACAAATCCACCCGATGCCACAACACCGAGGGCAGCTTTGGGGGCAAAATTCCTGCCACAAATCCACCCGATGCCACAACACCGAGGGCAGCTTTGGGGGCAAAATTCCTGCCACAAATCCACCCGATGCCACAACACCGAGGGCAGCTTTGGGGGCAAAATTCCTGCCACAAATCCACCCGATGCCACAACACCGAGGGCAGCTTTGGGGGCAAAATTCCTGCCACAAATCCACCCGATGCCACAACACCGAGGGCAGCTTTGGGGGCAAAATTCCTGCCACAAATCCACCCGATGCCACAACACCGAGGGCAGCTTTGGGGGCAAAACTCCTGCCACAAATCCACCCAATGCCACAACACCGAGGGCAGCTATGAGTGCCGCTGCCACCCTGGCTGGAAGCCGGTTCCTGGGTCCCTCAATGGTCCAAACAACACCGTCTGTGAAGGTTCGGAGTTCACATCCCATAAAAGAACCACATCTTCTTTATGTTGCTGAGCCATCTGAAAGGAAGCTGCCATAATGAGCTTTGGCAGAAAAGGGGCAGCACTTTCAGTAACAGTGTGTGCCCAGTGCAGGCAGTGAGGAGAGGGCACCTGGGCCAGGCAGGGCTGAGCTTCAGATTCTGTTCTAATAAGGGCATGAGCACAGCTCTCGACACAGCAATGTCACAGCCCACAGCCTCAGCACGTGGAAGCTCTCAGAGTGGCAGCCTCCATGGTTAGAAGTCCATCACAGGTCCTGCTACAGTCCATCCTGTCCTAGAGATAGAGGTACAGCTTTGGGATGACACTGGCACACACACACACAGTCTTGCCCTCTCCACCTTGCAGGGGTGCTCTGAGCTTATGGTGCTTCTACAGTGGAAAATATCAGCACAAGTTTGTATACTGTAGGACTAGATGGCTGTTAAGCAGGTTGTACTGGGGGTGTCCTCGGTGTACTTTGAGAGAAGGGGCAGGAGAGTTGTGTGCAGAGTGGAGGGAGGGTCTGAAACTCTCTCTGATTTGTCCTCAGATGTGGATGAATGCACCTCCGGGCAAAACTCCTGCCACAAATCCGCCCAATGCCACAACACCGAGGGCAGCTATGAGTGCCGCTGCAGCCCTGGCTGGAAGCCGGTTCCTGGGTCCCCCCATGGTCCACACAACACCGCCTGTGAAGGTTCGGAGTTCAGATCCCATGAAAGCACCACATCTTCTTTACTTGGCTGAGCCATCTGAAAGGCAGCTGGCATTGGACTTTGGCAGAGAAATGGCAACACTTTCAGCAATGATATGTGCCGGTGCAGACAGTGAGGAGATGGTGAACTGGGCTGGGCAGGGCTGAGCTTAGATTCTGTTCTAATAAGGACATGAGCGCAGCTCTGGGCACAGCAAGGTCACAGCCCACGCCTCAGCACAGGGGAGCTCTCAGAGTGGCAGCCTCCCTGGTTAGAAGTCCGTTACACGTCCTCCCCCAATCCATCCTCCCCACAAATGGAGGCACAGCTTTGGGATGACACTGGCACACACACACACACACACACACACACACACAGATTTGCCCTCTCCACCTTGCAGGGGCGCTCTGAGCTTATGGTGCTTCTACAGTGGAAAATGTCACAACAACTTTGTATACTGTCAGGCCTGGTGGATTTAAGCAGGGAGTAGTGGGGGTGTCATCAGTGTACGTTTTCAGAAGGGGAAGGAAGCTTTATGTGCAGGGAGTAGAGGGAGGGCCTGACACTCTCTCTGGTTTGTCCTCAGATGTGAATGAATGTACCTCGGGGCAATACTCCTGCCACCCATCCACCCAATGCCACAACACTGAGGGCAGCTATGAGTGCCGCTGCCGCCCTGGCTGGAAGTCAGTTCCTGGGTCCCCCAATGGCCCAAACAACACCGTCTGTGAAGGTTCGGAGTTCAGATCCCATAAATCAGTGATTCTCAACCTTCTGGCCTTTTAAATACAGTTCCTCATGTTGTGACGCAACCATAAAATTTTCGTTGCTACTTCATAACTGTAATGTTACTACTGTTATGAATCATAATGTAAATATCTGATATGCAGGATGGTCTTAGGCGACCCCTGTAAAAGGGTTGTTTGACCGCCAAAGGGGTCGTGACCCACAGGTTGAGAACCGCTGCCATAAATGAACCACATTTATTTACTGGGCTGAGCCATCTTAAAGTCAGCTGCCAGTAGGAGCCTTGGTAGAGAAGGGGCAGCACTTCCAGCAATGGTGTGTGCCCAGTGCAGGCAGTGAGGAGAGGGCACCTGGGCCAGGCAGAGCTGAGCTTCAGAAATGTTCTATAAGGGCATGAGTGTGGCAACCTCCCTTGTTAGAAGTCCATCACAGGCCCCTCCATAGACTATCCTGCCCCACAGTAGGGGTCAAGGGTTTGGGATGACATTCAGCCCTGCCCTGTCCACCTTGCTGGGGTGCTCTGACAGTGGAATATGTAACCACAAGTTTGTATGTGTCGGGCTAGGTGGGTTTTAGGTAGGGTTTATCATTGTGTCCTGGGTGTAATTTGAAAGAATGTGTCGGAGCTTTGAGATCAGGGAGTGGAGAGAGGGCCTGACACTCTCTCTGGTTTGTCCTCAGATGTGGATGAATGTACCTCGGGACAAAACTCCTGCCACAAATCCACTCAATGCCACAACACCGAGGGCAGCTTTGAGTGCCGCTGCCGCCCTGGCTGGAAGCCGACTCCTGGGTCCCCCCATGGCCCAAACAACACCATCTGTGAAGGTTCGGAGTTCAGATCCCATATAAGAACCACATCTTCTTTACTTGACTGAGCCATCTGAAAGGAAGCTGCCATAAGGAGCTTTGGCAGAAAAGGGGCAGCACTTTCAGCAGCAGTGTGTGCCCAGTGCAGGCAGTGAGGAGAGGGGACCTGGGCTGAGCGGGCTGAGCTTCAGTCAGAAAATAGGTACGAGCTTTGCATGGAGCGAGTTGAGATATCACCTTGCACTTTCTGTGGTTTGTCCTCAGATGTGGATGAATGTACCTCCAGGCAGAACTCCTGCGACAAATCCACCCGATGCCACAACACCGAGGGCAGCTATGAATGCCGTTGCAGCCCTGGCTGGAAGCCGGTTCCTGGGTCCCCCAGTGGTCCACACAACACCGTCTGTGAAGGTTCAGATTTCAGATCCTATAAATGAACCACATCTTCTTTACTTGCCTGAGCCACCTTAAAGGCAGCTGCCATAAGGTGCTTTGGCAGAGAAAGGGCAACACTTCCAGCAATGATGTGTGCCCGGTGCAGGCAGTGAGGAGATGGTGGGCTGGGCTTGGCAGGGCAAAGCTTAGATTCTGTTCTAATAAGGGCAGGAGTACAGCTCTAGGCGCAGGGGTGCCACAGCCCACAGCCTCAGCACATGGGAGATGTCAGTATGGCAACCTCCCTGGTTACAAATTCATCACAGGTCCTTGCCCAGTCCAACCTACTCAGCAGGTTTGGGCACATCTTAGGGATGACACTTGCACACACTCACACACAGTCCTGCCCTGTTCTCCTTGCAGGGGCGCTCTAAGCTTATGTTGCTTCTACAGTGGAAAATGTCACACAACTTTGTATACTGTCGGACTAGGTGGCTTTTAGGCAGGGTTTGGAGGGTGTCCAGAGTGTAATTTGAGAGACCTGGCAGGAGCTTTGTGTGCTGGGAATTCAGGTTGGTCCTCACAATCTCTCTTGTTTGTTCTCAGATGTGGATGAATGTACCTCAGGGCAAAACTCCTGCCAGAAATCTGCCCAATGCCACAACACCGAAGGCAGCTATGAGTGCCGCTGCAGCCCTGGCTGGAAGCCGATTCCTGGGTCCCCCAATGGTCCAAACAACACCGTCTGTGAAGGTTCGGAGTTCAAATCCCATAAATGAACCTTGTCTTGTTTATTTTTTTAGGCATCTTAATGGAAGCTGCCAAAAGGAGCTTTGGCAGTGAAGGGGCAGCACTTTCAGCAATAGTGTGTGCCCAGTGCAGGAAGTGAGGAGAGGGGACCTGGGCTGAGCGGGCTGAGCTTCAGATTCTGTTCCAATAAGGGCAGGAGTGCAGCTCTGGATGAAGTGGTGCCACAGCCCACAGCCCACCACCTCAGCACGTGGGATCTATCAGTGGCAGCCTCCCCGGTTAGAAGTCCAACACAGGTCCTCCCACACTGCATCCTGCCTTACAAGTGGAGGAACCAGCTTTGGGATGACACTTACACACATACACACAGTCCTGCCCTGTCTGCCTTGCAGGGGCGCTCTGAGCTTATGGTGCTTTTACAGTGGAAAACGTCACCACAAGTTTGTATATGTTGGGCAAGGTGGGCTTTAGGCAAGGTTTAGTGGGGTGTCCAGAGTGTAATTTCAGAAAATGGGCAGGAGCCTTGCATGCAGCGAGTTGAGATATAGCCTGACTCTCTGTGGTTTGTCCTCAGATGTGGATGAATGCACCTCCATACAAAACTCCTGCCACAAATCCACCCGATGCCACAACACCGAGGGCAGCTATGAGTGCCGCTGCCGCCCTGGCTGGAAGCCGGTTCCTGGGTCCCCCAATGGTCCACACAACACCGTCTGTGAAGGTTTGGAGTTCCGATCCCATAAATGTACACCTTCTTTATGCAGCTGGGTCACCTTAAAGGCAGCTGCCATAAAGTGCTTTGGCAGAGACGGGGCAGCATTTTCAGCAATGGTGTGTGCCCAGTGCAGGCAGTGAGGAGAGAGCACCAGGATCAAGCAGGGATGAGCCTCTGAATCTGTTCTAATAAGGGAATGAGTGCAGCTCTGTACCAGTGGTAACACAGCCCACAGCCCACAGCCTCAGCACGTGGGAGCTATCCGTGTGGTATCCTTCCTTGTTAGATATCCGTCACAGGTTCGGTCACAGTCCATCCTAGTGCACAGGTGAACAGTTTTTGAAAGGTTGGGGATTCAGAACAGACTCAAGGTTTAGTGTAGTCAAAATAATATTTATTCATGGCATCTGGGTGCAGGTGGACTGATCTTGAGAAAGAGTCAGTGCTGCATGGAAAGGGGGCAGGCTTTTTATGCAGGTGGGGAGAGCTGCAGGCCCTGGTGGACACTCATGTCTATACGGCACTACAGGCGGCTTCTGTTTACACAATATTGGGGATGGGCCATGAGCGGCTTCCGCTGATGCATATATGGAGCGTATTGCCAGTGGTTGTTTCATGGCCTTGCTCTTTGCCCTTCTGCCAGACGTCCTTCCTCCTAGGGGCTGTGCAAGGGTTTTGGTCTCGGAAGTTCCTGTAATACATTCATTCAAAGGGGGCCTGTTTCTGCAATGCGTGGACTTGCCGAATGAGTTTTCCTTTGACATTTGTTCGGTTTTGTAAGGCTCAAGCCTTGTGCTCTCCAGTTAGCTGTTTCAGCTTTGGCATGTCACTTGCACACACACAGTCCTGTCCTGTCCACCTTGCAGGGGCACTCTGAGTTTATGGTGCTTTCACAGTGGAAAATGGCACCCCTATTATGTATCCTGTTGGGCTGGGTGGCTGGTGAGCGGGGCGTAGTGGGGTGTCCTCGGTGTGAACTGCTAAGGGATTTGAGAGAAGGAGCAGGAAGGATGTGAGCAAGGATTGGAGGGAGGGCCTCACATTCTCTCTGGTTTGTCCTCAGATGTGAATGAATGTACCTCGGGGAAAAACTCCTGCCCCAAATCA